TGGGCGCAGCCCAGGCTTGTTGGCTGGAAGCAGCCGCCTAGAGCCCAGGCCGGTGGTGGTGCGCCGAGCAAAATGGCCTCGTGTGCCATGCTTGGTACACGTGCCAGGGGTTGCTGACCCCTGTCTTAATGCATAATGTGGGAAGAATGCTTATGAGAAAAATAAACCTTTTTCTTTCACACATTCAATTTGCGTTCTTCTAAAACTGCTTTGCATGTCATCCACCTCTCGTTAGCACACATGACTTTTAGTCTGGTTTCTCTTCCTGCTGCACCCCCTTCATGATTCCCCAGATATTTGTTTGACTGTCCCAGTTTTGGGAGTATCTCTGGTCTCCAAGTAGATTTCATAGAGGTGATCTTGTAGCCATCTATAAATTCATTGGTGTGGGGGGACGACAGCAAGGAATAAGAGATGGTCTGTTTACCAGAGTGCCCCTTGGGGTAACTAGAAACAATGGCCACAAACTGACAGAGAGCAGGTTTTGATTAGACATCAGGAAGGACTTTTTTATGGTAAGGGTGACCCCAGAATTTGGAATGGGCTTCCAAGGGAGGTGGTGCTCTCCCCTACCTTGGGGGTCTTTAAGAGGAGACTGGACAGGCACCTGGCTGGAAGTAGTCTCCTTATGTATCATTACCACCTTCCTGTGTGTCAATTCCTATTCATTTCCATTTACTTTCTCAGCCTAGCCTTCTGTCAGCAGCCTGAAACAAGGAATGGCAGGTGGCCTGCTGACTCTCAGGTTCATTGAAGGTTCCCCAGACCACCAGTGCACCTGGATTGCAGCTTGAAATCTGCTAATTGAACTATGCAGCAAAGAGAGAATGGGGAGTGTATTGTAGATAGTGTAATTCTAAACCCACTTACAAACAAGATCCCTTTTAGCAAGTCCAAACAGTCTTCTGAATGTTCATTGATAATGGAAAAGGCAGACTTTTTTTTACCTGATCTCCTGATGAGGTGATTTGGTAAGAAAGCTTGTTTTACCATTGTTCTTTGATGTTGGTGGGAACATAGCGATGTTAACAAAATAAAGAGTAAAATGGGATGCATATGTCTTCCCTTCAAGATTGGATAACTGCAGCAGGTTATAATTAAGTTTGAAGGTTCTCTTTTTGGTCTATAGAGCATCATGCCGCCTGGGGTCCTCCTCCTTGAAGAGCTGCCCCAGTTCTCATGCCATGCCATACTGCTGTAGTTAGTGGAGGTACAGAAGCTGCATATTTTTCCTCTCGATTGTAACAGAAGAATGGATTCAAGGATTTTTCCATCCTATGTTTGTTTGAGTGAAGCTTTTCATGATGTAATTTAAGACATGCTGCCAGCTGAATTCTAGATCAGTTAGTTACTTTGTCAAAATTAAAAAAAAATATTTACATTGGAATACTAACAGGAAAGACTATAAAAGCTGCAAAGCGGAAAATAGGCCTGTTGCCTTGTTTTTTGGACATAGCTGGGTGTAAAAGCTTGCAAGCTATCCATCTCATTTTTAGAATTCCTGATTTTTTTTTTTGAAGCAAGACTTTTCTGTTGCTGGTCTTATTTTCACACCGTTTGGGTAGATGGTGTTAAATCTTGAATATTGTTTCTCATATTTTAAGTCCCTTCTCCTTTCAGTTGTGCAGGCTTTGTGTGTTACCTGCTTGTGATAGTATCCTACATTACTCCCATAATACATGATCTTAAAATAGAGAGAGAGAACCTTAATGTCTAATATTAAAAGCACATGTATTATGCTTTTAATACATTTGTGGATTTTTTGAGTATTTGGGTGTCTGTGCTATTTAGTTGATGATTGAGAACTAAGGCATCTACTTTTGCTGTTGCAACTTTTTCTCAAGCAAGCTTAATTTGAAGGTTGAGAGAGGTGAATAGCAAGGTAAGCAGTGGCTGAGAAGGTGAAGAGGAAGGTAAGAGATGGTTAAGTTGTCATGAGGCCTGTGTTCCTGTACAGAAACATTTATTTTGATTAGATCAGGATTATAGGGCAGACTGTACTTTCTGCTTTGCAACGGAAATGCACATCTTAGGCTTTTTGTTGTGTATGTTTGTTTACTGAAATTGATTGCCTTCCATGAAGGACAGTTTTTCTGGGCATTTTCAGTGTACCTTTACTTTAGATAGGTGGGTGAGTTTGAATAAATCTTGGAAAGGAACTTTTGAGCTCATTAGAAAATCATTTCATAACATGGGTGATGGGTGAAGTTTTTACCCATGTGTGGAGGGTCAGTGCGAGACCTAGGTACTAAACTGTTATATATCTTGTGCGTATACTTTGTCCAAATACGAATTTAGTTTATTGGCCTACATAATTCTGACTGCTTCCTCATGCCGTGTTGTGTGAGTCTTGCATGTCAGTCTATTAAAAGATGGAAGGAAACAGTTTTAGAACGTGAGCCTTACTCCGCTGTGTAATACTATCTTCTCTGGCTTCCAGCATTTATGTATTGAATATTAAAATAAGAACTGGGTGAGCTGTGGGGTATTGGTTACTATAACACGAAGGACACGTTCAGACTGTAGAGAACCCAAGCTACGTGATGTCCAGCTACATAGGTGAAAGAATCAAATTAAGCACCTAAAAAATGTTGTGGTTTTTAAGCTTTTGATGATATAAATACAGCTTTGTTTGTTGCTGTGCTCCCAAGGCATGCACATGATATTATTACTACTGCATGTTTATGCCTCGTTCAATATGTGAACAAGGACAAGCTATGTCAAGAGTTGCGTGAAACAAACCGACTTCTTAGGATTTTGCTGAGAGAGCTGGATGCATTTGCCCTATTTAATGATAAAACTAATACGATTTGTAAATGCGAGTTGACTGAACATAAGTATACCTTGCCATCTTTAATCATTATACATTAAAAAAACAACAACAACAAAAAAACATTTTCTCAAGCTTGTGGTCAGGCTCAGTTGTTGAATGTCAAGTCATAGCAATGATTTGAAACCTTGATCCGTGTGTAAGATGCCATCAGTAAGCTACAAAATATTCTAAAAATAAACATCCCCAAATAAATGAGACATCCTGGCAAGCAGGAGAGAACAGCAGGACTTAATTTTGCATAATACTCTTAATAAAATTATTTAATCTTATAATGGATTTTTGGAGATATGGACTAAGGTAGTAGGGACTTGGACCAATATAGTGACCTTCTCTCCTAGGCTAGTTAAACACTCTAAGGAATTGTATGGCAATAAAGGCATTAAATATTGATAGATGCCTGGCTGTGTTTCTGACAGGTTGGCAGCAGCCCTAGGTTGAGAGTTTGTAGCATAATCTTTTTTTTTTTTTTCCCCCTAGCTTTCAAGGCAGGCATGTTTCAGTGGATTTCGGGACACTGCACTGGCTCTATGTTCATACTTTGTACTGGAAAGCAACTGCTTGGGGTTGAAGAGAACCACAATAGGTTGCAGAGGACTAGGTCCTGTAGTTCCTGAGTGGACTTTTACGTTTTTTAGGTAGCATGTTGCTGCCCAGGTGACTGTGGGAGCTAAGTTGGACAAAAAATGTTCCATAAATGGGTACTGGAGTGCTACATGAAATAAGATGTGTGAGTATTCAGGTCAGTCTTACAGGTGTAGTTTGCCTCTGAAGGCTACCTTCCTAGGTTGCTGTGAAGACAAAATTGCTGACTTATGCAGGCCATTTGACTTGGTCATGTTCCTAGAAGCACTTCATTCCTATCTTTATAGGCCCAAATAGGAATGACAAGTAATAACAGCTAATAACCTATCTGATTTTATACTGTCAATAACTGGATTACTTCTTACCTTACTTTCACAGATCTTCAGGACTCTGTGTATTTTGCTTTTTTGTAACCTTTGGTATATAAACACTGTTCACAATACTTTTAATTTGGATTATGGAGTGTGTGCTTTATTTAACATCGGTTGTGTCCACTTAATGTAAATCCTGAATAGGTGTTCTTTCTTAATCTTGAAATGACAAACAGGATGCGCACTCATATGGGAGAGGCGGGATGTAATCATGGATATCAAGCTTAGTCATTTCCCTTTATCGCAGTGGGAGCTGGGAAGAAATACATTGGCTTGAGTTCCCTGCTGCCCTTGGTGCCCTTTTCACTACCTGCATAGAACAGGATTGTACAGAATCAAGAGCAAAAATGTGATCAGTGTAGCTTAGGTGACCCAAAGCTTTGAAGATGTATGCATTTTAGTGAGAATGAATGCTCTGAGCCTAAATTGTGTAAAGTTCTATAACTTCAGTGGATTCAGAAAAAGTTGCTCAGTTAGTACAACCAGCTACTCACTATTGCGATAAAACTTAGCCTGCAGCTCTCAGAGGGAGTTCAGCGTATGACTGCCTTTGTATTTCAGTGGAATTTCAGTACGTAACCCACATAGCCGTAGCAAAATATTTAACTCCTTTGCTCAAAATCTAACCTCACTAGCCAATATCTTATTCATTTTTTGTTAGAAATTCATTGAATTTGAAGATTCTCAAGAACAAGAGAAAAAGGACTTGCAGATCAGAGTGGAAGCGCTGGAGTCACAAACTCGACAGCTTGAACTGAAAGCAAAAAACTATGCTGATCAAAGTAAGTAGAAGTCTTCTGTGTCATAAGTGTGCCCGCATTACATTATGACTTCAGGGAGATATGAAATTCAGCCCAATATGTTTATAATACAGCAGCAACCCATGACAAAGCTGTTTCTGGTAACTGATCCACTATTCCTGGTAAGTGTGTTTGAAATAAGTTGAACTGTTTTGTTTCAGCTGTAACAAGGACAAATTTAGATGCTAAATCAGGGGTGGACAAAATATGACTTGCGGGCCAAATCCAATTGGTTTGTATACGGCCCATGCCTGTACCTGTGGCACTCTGCTCGGGGCTGAGCCCTGCCCAGGGCAGCCAGCCCCACCTCATGCTCCTGCCGATGCCTTTTGACAGCACAGCCCCAGCCAGCATGCACAACTTCCCAGCAGGGCTCTTCCTTCTCCCCTCCTGCCCCTGCTATGCAACTCCAGGAGGGGAAGCTACAGCTGTGCAGCTCCTGCCCCAGTGCATGGGGGTCCAGCTTCAGCTCCTGGCTGCCTTCCACCCACTCTGCCCACGTGGTGTGATGAGTGGTCACTTGCATCTGCTTTTAAACATTAAATGCATCTTGCTTCACATGGTCCCTGCAAACTAATTAACTGTTTACTTTTCATTAACAGACTAGGACTCTAAAGTGTTAATTGTGTATGGTTCCTAATGCTGGAGTAGATTACAGTCTGACCATTCCAGACATGATATTACTTGGCACGGGTATGCTATTTTCTCTCTGTTAAGCAGGATGCCGTTTAGCAGAACAGATTTGTGTCTCAATCTCCTCCTTTTTCGTCCCCTGTTTGTTGTTTCTTCAGCCAGTCTTTTTTACTCATCATTGCATTATGGGGCATGGGTAGCTCTTGCTTCCTTACCAATGTAAAAAAATGCACTGCTTTTTTTAATGGCACGAGTAGAATGCCCAGTGCATCTGAACTCAGTTTCTTGAGCTGTCTTAATAATGTGAAGTCTTCATTTTTGTTACGCTTGAGTTAAGAAATTGTTTGTGGTATGGTTAGATTAGAATATTGTTGACGCATGTATATTTGCATGGTCTGTGCCACAAAGCTAAGATCTGCTCACACAAAGAAACTTACTGAAAGCGGGAAGGGAAATTTGGTGCTTCTTAAAAATATTGTTGACGCATGTATATTTGCATGGTCTGTGCCACAAAGCTAAGATCTGCTCACACAAAGAAACTCTTACTGAAAGCGGGAAGGGAAATTTGGTACTTCTTAAATACTGTCCCACCTACTAAACATCAGAATGCTTGGTATTATTCCTGTTGACTTAAGAATTAGCAATCTTCAACAGATGCTGAATTGATCGGAAATGTAAAACTAAATTTGAGTTCCCACTAAAGCATTTCTTCCTGATGCTCCTTTTTGGAAGCTGCATCTGTGTGTAACTTAAATTGCCAATCTCTGAACTTGAGCTTCTCACCTGTTTGATATCTGTCCAAGACGGTAGCATTTCAGCTGTTAGATTTGAGGACTTCAAGACTCAATTTTCAGACAAAAGCTTAAGTCTTAAATATCTGTTGAGGATCTGGGCTTGCACCTTAGCGTGTAGTCTTTGTTCAGACTTTCCTTTATACAACACACAGGCCAACTTTCCTCAAAAGTGCAGTGACTCCAAAAGTCAGGAGGTGCTGCAGGTCCTTAGAGGCTTTGAAAGTAATGCCCTTAGTCTTAATATAGGATTTCTTTAGGCAACATTTTTTACTTAATTAGAAGTGGTGGTTTTAAATTTTATTTCTACTCCTGCTGTCTTGAAAGCACTACTTCAGGGTTTGCTGTTGTACAAACTGAGTGCTGTGTCTTGACTTAAATTAAAGCAGGCAGTATGAAGCATTTGTTAAACGTTCAGCATATCACAAGTGAGTATTACTACTGTGTGTTTTCATTTGCTGAACTTTTAAATAACCTGCAAAGACACTAAACCAGTGATATTCTGGCTCTTTTCAAAGAGGCTTCTCGGGCCTGCACTGTTCAACATCTTCATCAGCGACTTGGACGAGGAGGTAAAAAGCACCCTGTTCAAATTAGCAGATGACACTAAGATGTGAAGAGAAGTGGGCACGCTAGAAGGGAGGAATAGGCTGCAATTGGACCTACACAGGTTACAGGGGTGGGCGGATGAGAACAGGATGGGTTTCAACACTGACAAGTGCAAGGTGCTGCACCTGGGGAGGAAGAACCAGCAGCATACCTACAGGCTGGGGAACTCCCTTCTTGTCAGTGCAGAGGCAGAAAAGGATCTTGGATTCATTATTGATGCCAAAATGAACATGGGCCAACAGTGTGGGGATGCGGTCAGGAAGGCCAACCGTACCTTGTCGTGCATCCACAGATGCATCTCAAGCAGGTCCAAGGAGGTGATCCTCCCCCTCTGTGACACTGGTCAGGCCGCAGTTGGAGTACTGCATCCAGTTCTGGGCGCCGCACTTCAGGAGGGATGTGGACAACATGGAGAGGGTCCAGAGGAGGGCCACCTGCATGATCAGGGCAGGCCCTGCGAGGAGAGGCTAAGGGACCTGAACCTGTTCAGCCTCCACAAGAGAAGGCTGAGGGGGATCTAGTGGCCATGTACAAACTAGTCAGGGGGGACCAGCCAGCATTGGGGGAGTCCCTGTTCCCCCGAGCACTACCAGGAGTGACTAGAAATAACGGTCACAAGCTGGCAGAGGGTAGATTCAGACTAGACATCAGGAGGTGCTACTTCACTGTCAGGGCGGCTAGGATCTGGAACAAACTTCCAAGAGAAGTGCTGGCTCCTACTCTGGGGTCTTTAAGAGGGGGCTAAATGAACACCTCGCCGGGTCGTTTGACCCCAGTACTCTTTCCTGCCATGGCAGGGGTTTGGGCTTGATGATCTGCTCAGGTCCCTTCCGACCTATGAAAATATTTTTTAAAGAATTGGGTTCACTTGTATTTATTGTGGTATGTCTGTTTATCTCTCTCTCTTTTTTTCAGTCATATTGTCCTTGTGACCCTATGGTACACAACACCAGGGAGTGCCACATCTGTGTATTTTCCAGTTTATAATCTAGTTTTCTCTCTTTCGTATAAAGACTTTTGATTGTGATTGGGATTTAGCATTTCTGATGCAATAGGCACAGTAGGCTATTGGAGGCAGTGCAGGCTTTGCATTCAGTTCAGTTCAGGAAGCAGCAGGCTGAATTGGACTTTTCCTGGTAGTCCTGTTTCTGTTGGATCAGAAGAACCTATTGGCAGTTACTGGTTCCTTTTTTTCTTTTTAGCTTATATTTTATATACTTGCACAAAAACCTGCTTGTCCAAGGAGCAGAATTTGAGAGTTGGCAAGATCTGTTTCGCAGAAGAATGGTACTTGGCTTTTGGAGTAACAGTCATCATCAGCAATATGTAATTTGAGTGTTAGAGCATTGAATTGTAAACCTTTCTGAAATGTTCCGATGGGGATGCGATTCAAGAAGTATCTGAAGAACGGCGTTAGACGCAACTGAATGCTAATGAGTTTTCATACTGTATCAGTGGCCAGCTTGGCACAGGATTTGGAAATGAGACTGCAAATGTTTGATAGGCCATTAATAGAAAGTGAGAGGCAAAAGATGAATGGGATAGAATTTGAGCATCTGAAAATAACACGTTACAAACAGGCTGCCAAAAAACTGATATGAAAACTGATAGGGAAGTGGTGGATTAAGCTTATTAGTAGGTTGTCTAATCAGCTTGACCTGTCCCTTGATTTATGTGAGAATTCAGCTGGGTGTGTCCTGCAGTACTGAAGTGTAGGAAACTGCGTCTCATTGTCATTCACTACATGCAGCTACTGGACTTGTGGCTGCATTCCTTTTCTCTCGCCTACTGCTTCCCATACTAAATGCATTTAAATAAGCCTACACTTTCTGTGCATTTAAATAAGCCTATGGCACATTGCCACTCTTGACACTAAATGCTTGATCAGATGTTGATGTAGTAGCATTAATAATAGGGATGCTTAGGACAGAGCAGTGAAGCAAATGAGTGGAGACCAGTGGAGTATAGGTTTAGGGTCCCTAGACCCTCAATTCCAGATGTTTAAGCACCCTCCATAGCTTTGCCAGTTTATATGAAGAGTAGTTATGTCCTAAGAAGGGACGCATTGCAGAGTAGGAGTTTTGAAGAGATGGGAGCCCAGGAAGGGTGGCTATGCCTTAAGGAAATGATCCTTTGGGCACAGAGGGAGATGATCCCGATGCGAGGAAAAAGAGGGAAAGGGGCCAGAAAGCTTCCCTGGCTGACCAGAGAAATCCAGGGCAGCCTACGGGCCCAAAGGGATCACATAAAAAGTGGAAACAGGGAGAGATTACCAAAGAGGAGTATACCTCCTCTGCTCGCGCTTGTAGGGAGGCAGTTAGACAGGCCAAAGCTACCATGGAGCTGAGGATGGCATCCCAAGTAAAGGATAACAAGAAATTGTTTTTCAGCTATATAGGGAGTAAAAGGAAGGCCCAGGGTGGAATAGGACCCTTGCTAAATGGGCAGAAGCAATTGGTGACGGACAGGGGGGACAAGGCTGAACTCCTCAATGAGTTCTTTGCCTCAGT